TCCCTGAAAAGAGTAAATGAGACATGTACTTACAAGTTCTATTTATCTTACATTCTCTGACTTATTTCTTGTCAGTGAATATGCTCTCAGTGTTGATTGATCTTTGTCATGTAATTTTATTCTTTTCTTTGTAGTCCTTTACAAATAAATGAATTTCATTATATACTCTAACAATGAAAAAGATCCCAAAAACAGTAAAAGGAATATGTATTTTACAAGTTCTTTTTCTATATTCTAACAACTAAGCAATTTTCTTTATGTTGTTTTGTCATTATCAAATAAGGGAAGATTGTTGATTCAAACTCACTCAGTGATTTGATGATGATCCTTTAAACCTAACGAAAGATACTTAGTTCTGTTTTATTCAGTTTCAGTGATCATCACTGAGTCTGTTCAGTGATCGCTAAACATGTATTGTAAACTTTTCTAAGGAACAAGTATTCTTCAAGAAGTCAAAACTCACACCAAAGGAACCTTCAGCAATGTCGAAGATATAACTGAATATAAAGATAAGTAGTTCGTAATCTGAAGCGGTTTCAGTGATAACAAACATGTCTACAATCAAGTAAGAAGTCTATTCAAGATTCAACTAACATTAAAGAAACTCTAGAGTTATGCCAGTGCCAACGACCAAATGAATCTTGCTCTACAAGATTTTTTTTTATCTTATCCTCATGCACACAAAGGACAATCTCATACCTCACATAGTAAAGCACATGCATGGAGTCACTCTATTGCCTCCAAGCGTGCTTACCTACTTTGTGAAAGACCACTATTCATATATAGCCAAAAGCCTGTATATCTGAACACAAATGACAAGCTCACCTCTAGAAGTTTGCCACATGCTTTGTATCCTCTAACTTGCATTAAATGCAATAAGTTTAAATAGCTATGGATACTCTCTTCTTCATACAGCAAAGAACATGACATATGCAAAACTAAGCTTACTCTCAAGAAAAGTTATAGCATAGCATATTCTCAAGCAAGCACTTTCTTTTTTGCTTTTATGTATCTTGTGTGCTTCCTAGATTGTTTAGATAAGTTATGTATCTTATCTTCTTCCACAAACAATCTGTAAAATTTGTATTGATCTTCTCATATCAATGAAGGATTTTAAAAAGTGAAATATGTGTGTTTGTATTCGTTCCCCCTTTCTACAAACTGTTACTAAGGATGGTGATTTGCCCCGACCCGATAGGGAATCCGGCTCACCCGACCCGAACAGGGAAGGGGATTCCCCACTAAAATGGGTCCCGAGACTAAGGCCAGGGATCCCTGGTAGACTTAAATCAAGGCCAAGATCCCCAGTAGACTCAAACTAGCGAATATTCTTGATGGGATTTGATCGGGGTTTGATAGGGGATGAGATGTTAATTTCCATACCCGCCGAGGATCGGGGCTATTACTAAAAACCGGGACCGGGGCCGAGGATTACAAAACCCGCCCCATCCCCGTCTCGTTGCCATGTCTAACTATTACTTATAAACTCTTGTAGACCCGTCTGGGACCAACAAAAGCTTTATTGCAAAAAGAGAAAACACATTTAAACATAATGACTTAGGGGATGTCTGGTAGATGTTGAATAATTTAGTTCAGAGTTACTTAATGCAAAATAAAGATGGTTGTTTGGTAATATTTTGAATGTATAATCTAATTGATAAAAAAGAACTTATGGTTGTTTACCAAACGCTTACCATGTAGGTATTTATCGGTCAATGTACTCTATTGAATGAGCATGACAAAGAATAGGAATCTTACTCAGTAAGAATGGTGACAAGGACCAAGGGTCTTACCCGGTAAGTGAGGGTGACGACTCTTACTCGGTTAGTGCTTTCCAGTTAATTGTTGCATAGTGAGAGTGCTGACATTTACTTTTAAGCGCTTTTACCGGATAAACGACCCCTAAGTTCCATTTGTCCCTACTTAACGTGAAATAATATGGAATATACAATAAATATAAATTGAAAACTTGATTTTAAAGTGAGGATGTGTCAATTAAATTTGAACAAAACCATTTGTGGCATCCGTTGCCCGCATTACAATGTGGAGTGAGTATAATGCTTCAAATCTCATAGGAGACATTGTTTGAACATTTCAAGAAAATAAAGAAATTGGTTTAAGTATATTACAACACTACAAAACGCAGGGTGTCACAACAACAAATGGTGAATGGAATTCATTTTTGACAAATGTTCTGATTTAATAAAACATCTTGCATATATACCACTTTACAAATATAGACTATGCATACATACACACACACACACACATATATATATAGGGGCTGGTTCAAATAGAAACCAACCATATGGTACAAACTATGTGAACCRAYMTTGATCGTTCATTTTATCATCAAACGGTTATTATTAAATGAGATTAAATAAACAATAATTTAATTAATGTATTAATTGATATGTGTATGAACAATTGTTCAAAGGGTAAATTGGTCGATGACATGCGGCTAGTCCCAACTCTTAGTCTCGTAGTCTTGGAAACAACCGGAGAGAGCTTGTTTAAGGACAGGAACGAGCGTAGACAGAGGAGAGAGTTAGAGTGACTCGTTGGTCATTATTAAATGAGTATTAAAAAATAATCAATTAATCATTAAATTTATTGGGCTGCTTATGAACAATTGTTCACAGGGTATTTTGGTAATAAATCCTCACGCATCATGAACCCGATATTCTCCAGCCGATTTGTAACCTACGATCGATTATGAACATATTCACAACTCATGTTCACATGTCGGCCCTATGCTCGTGTGAACAGCATTTGTGTCTTGCAATGTAAACACTATGTTCATATGTTCATATATGTTCACATGTCGGCCCTATGTTCGTGTGAACAGCATTTGTGTCTTACAATGTAAACATTATGTTCATATGGTGTGATGTTTTTCAATGTCATACCGTATGACATCGTCACGGGTTCGTGTGAACAACGATTGTGTCTTTCAATGAAAACAAGTTGTTCATAT